GCAAGGAATCTTTGCTTTTTTCAAAACGTCAAAAAGAAAACAGTAAAAAGCTATGCTATCAAATCTTACTTTATCAAACAGTAAGATTCTTTACAAATTTTTCAAAAAGTAAACAGTAAAATTTCTACTTTTCGTACAATAATTCTTGATTTTTTCTTGAAATCTGGACAAGTGGATGGGTCTATTCTGAAGTCTCTTGTCTTTTTGCAAAATGTCTGAAAAAATCCTTATCTTGTTGCATAAATGTGTCTGCCAATGCTGTCTAAAGAGTCTCCTCCGTCAGTACATCCTTCTGGATTATCATCTTCTTCTGAATTATGATCTTCAAAATCATCCAAGTCTTTTTCTTGTTCAACCTTCTTTTTGCCTTTATTTTTCTTTTTAATCTGTATTTTCTTTTTCTTTGTAGTACTTTGTTTAACTTGTTGCTGTATTTCTTCAATCTTATCAAACATTTCTTTAATTCTTATAATGTCTGATTGAGAAATCTGTCCTGGATCTTGAGCTGATTGAAATGAATCCGGAAAATTAATTGGACTTTTCTGTTTAAGGTCTATTGGGCTTATAAGTCTAGTAATAGAATTTCCAGTCTGCTGTGTCTGATCTTCAGAAGTATTTTTATTTTCTGTAACAGGATTTTCAGCCTGTTGAGTCTGATTAAATTGAAAAGTAGGAGAATCAACAGTCCCCTGAGTCTGTTGAGCTTTTGGTAAGCCCATAACCATAAACGGATTTGATAAGTCTTTACCAACTTCCGTTTGAGCTGGACTAGCTATAGAATTCTTGGGCTCTATAGTACCTGCTTGTGTCTGGACCATTGGATTTGAAATTTTTAAATGAATAATTTCTTGTTCTAATTCAGAAATTTTCTTTTGTAAAACTAATTTTTCTTGTTGTAAAGACTGATTTGACTCGTTTAAAATTTTAAAATTCTTAGTCATACATTCACAATGTTCACAAAATTTAGAAGTATAATCTAAAGGCTGATCTGAAACATTCTTTAAAGAAGGAGCAACAAAATAATTAATTCCTATAAATTTTCTACATTCTTCTAATGCTTCTGAAATAGAATAAAATCCTTTATATAGAGGATTTGGAAAATTTTTTATACAATCTGAAACTTCTAGCCAGGTATGATAAATTCCTGGAAGTCTTCCATTTAAAACAACATAACATTTAAATTTTTTATGGTCTTGACTAAAATGTTCTGAAAGAGCATTTAAACATGCTAAAAAATATTTTTGATCTTTTGGATTCTTATTGAAGATATCCATAAATTATCTAAAATACATTTTTCTGATTTAGTAACTGAAATATGAGAGAGTGTCTTAAAACTAATATTATTATTTGGAAAATAAAGTAACTCTATATTACCAAATCTTAACTTATCATGAGTCTGTAGTATATTTGTCTGAGAACTGGAACTGCCAACAATTGGCAATCCTGGTCTGGGACCTCTTGGTCTTTGCATCTGCAATAAATGATTAGTCATATTCTTTATTTTTAATTATTCTACTTAAAATATCTGCAATCTGATTATCACTACCTTTAATATGTTCAAAATTAATTACTAATCCAGTATTAGTTATTCTATCTATGAAAGTTAATCATCTTCTTCTATTACTTCTTTTATTTTCTAATTTCATTTTATTAACAAAGCTTACAATTGCTTCACAATCTGTTCTTAAAGTAATTTCTTTTTTGAAAATAATAAATAATTCAAAAGAATCTAAAGCATAATTTACTGCAAGTAATTCTAAATCTATACTACTTATATTACCTTTTTCTTTATAATTTTCACTATTATATCTTACAATTTTTTCACTTTCTTTATCTGCATATTTATTGGGTTTTGCAATTAAAATTGCTCCCCATCCTGTTATACTACCATCTGTTTCTATAATTAAGAAATCTGTTTCTAGTGGCATAGATAATTTAGGTAAATCTTTTAATTTTTCTTTTATTTTTTGAACTAATTTAATATCTTCTATATTAAAGTATCTTTGACCTTTTGGTGAAGTTTTTCCATATAAAGGTCCTGCAATTTTTCCTAAGTTTTTAATAAAGGGTCTAGCATAATTAACTAATCCTAAGAATTTTTGTAATTGTTTAAGATCTTCTAATTTATCTGGAAACTCTAAAGCTTTCTGAGCTATATGTGGTTGTAACTCTATTTTTCCTTTACCTATATTTACTCCTAAAAATTCTATATATTCTTTAAATAAGAACATTTTCTTTTTATTTATAATTAAACCATGTCTAATAAATTCTGAAAAAAGAATTTGTAAATGACCTCTATGTTCTCTCTTATTTTTACTAAATACTAAAATATCATCAATATAAACAATAATAAATTTATTATGTTTACTAAAAATACTATCCATTTTTCTTTGGAAAATACTAGGGGCATTTTTTAAACCAAATGGCATAACTAACCATTCAAAATGTCCTTCTGGACTAGTGAAGGCTGTCCATTCTATTGAATCTGGGTGCATTTTTACTTGCCAAAAACCAGATTTTAAATCAAACTTACTAAAAATATTACAATCTTGAATTTTATTTATTAAAACTGTTTTGTCTGGAATATTATAAGTATCATCTATTGTATTATCATTTAATCTTTTATAATTAATTACCATTCTACTTTTTCCTCTAATAATTTCTGAGTGTTTTCTAACTATAAAAGCTGCTGATCTATGTGGACTTTCTGATTTTCTAATTACTCCTAATGTTAGTAAATCTTTTATATGCATTCTAAAGTCTTCTTGATCTTGATTTGTTGCTTCAATATTTTTTGTTTTTATTATATATTCTGGATTTTTAATTTTTAATTCACATAAAATTTTATCTTTTTCCCAATATTTTAATATATTTTCTCTTAAAATTTCTAATTTTTCTAATTTACTTATCATATTTTCTATATCTTGTTCTGTTACTAACAAGTTATATATTTTTTCAATTTCTACAAATTCTAAACATAATTCTTCATCTTCCTTATAATATTCTTCATATTCTTCTATAAAACTATCAAATTCTTCTTTTTCTATTAATTGACATTCTCTTTCTTTACTACACTCACATTCTTTTTCTATTATCCCACCACTCTTCTCAGCAAACTCTGATGGAATAATCTTAGTATAAGTAGGTGCACAAATTGTAAATTTTTGTAGTTGCATATAATCTTTACTAATTATTATACTACCATTATCTTTTAGTAAAAAACTTAATCCTAAGATTAAATCTGTATTTAAAGATAATTCTCTTACCCATACTGAGTCTTTTGGTAAACTATATTCTGTACTTCTTCCACAATTAGTCTCAAAACTAATTTTTGCTGGTTTAAGAATATCTTGATAACTATAAAAATTCCCATCCATTTGTTGGGCTTCTATAGGTTCCTTAGATTTTATAATATATTTTTCTGGTATAATTCTTTTATTAATTACACAATGACTACATCCTGAGTCTATTAAACCTAGACAATTTACTTCAAAATTTTCTATTCTAACATAACATTTTACTTTAATACTTTTTAATTTTTCTGAATTACAAAAAACTTGAACTAATTCTGATTCAGAGATAATTTCTGGACTTTTTCCTTTTTTATTTATTTCCAAAAATTCTATTTTCTGTAAAATATATCTTTGCATATCTTCTAAGTTTTCTATTCTTTTTCTTAAAATTTTTATTTCTGATAATTCTATTTGGACTAAATCATTCTGATTTTCTTCTTCAGATTCTATTAATTCTTTTTGTATTAAGCATTGTTTACATGCTTCTAAAAAACAATCTTTACATTTAACTCTTAATTTTTTACTAGGATACCATTTACATATAAAACATGGTATACTATCTGAACCTATTTCTTTTACCCATTTATGTTTACATTCTAATTCTATATCCATAAATTCTAATTCTTCATCTGAATCTGATAAATTTTTAATATTTGAAAATTCTTGTATAAAATTTTCATAATCTGATTGTTCTTCTAAATTACAATTATTATAATCTTCTATTGATATAATACTATATACTGACTCTTTATCTGAAATATATTCATCTATTTCTAACAAATCTTCATTAGTACATTCTATTAAAGTACTTCTTTTATCATTATTATTTATCTTTTTTGGACATGTCTTAGTTAAATGATCTGTTTCTCCACAAACATAACAATTTAATTTATTAAGATAATTTCTTTCTGGTTTAAATTTTCTAACATATCTACTTTCATCTAAATAAGGCTTTCTTCTATTGGATTTTCTAAGATAATATCTTTTCTTAAAAGGTTGATTATATTTTCTTTTATCACATTTTCTTTTATTCTTTTCTCTAAAATTATTACCATAAGTTTGAGGTGTATATATATCTTTACAAAATTTATAATCTGTCTTTTTTAGTTGATTCTGAATTTGTAGTTTAATACATTTTTCTTCTAAGCATTGCATTATAAACTGTGTTCTCATTCCTATACTCCATAATTGATTTGGTCTTTCTATAACACTTTTATTTTCATTCCACAAAAACATTTTGTTTAAAAACTACCGATGGATCATTCCGGTAGGTATTTTTTATAGTTCTGAGATATGGTGCTAATAGTTAATATTAGTTCCAGATCTTGTAAGAACAATTTCTGTTTATAAAATTTTTAATTTGTAAAAGTTTTTTGATTTTTGTAAAAAATCTTATGTTTCATGCTGAGTATATGATAAGAGCATGTCTTAACTCCAAGTTAAAAGTTTTAAACTGTTTTTAAAATAAGCCCTGAGTGACCTCTCAAAGCGTAAAGGTCCAGTGGAGAGGCTAAGAGACGCATAGAAGAGGGAAATGGATCACTGTTTTAAGAATTCTTGTTAAGGAAGTGCCAGTGGTGTCTTTACAAGAATGGAGTTAGGCCCAAGTTCATATATCTCAGATGGCATTTAAAAAAAAAAAAAAGATATTATTTTATTAAAAGAAAAAGAAATTTAAATTAAGAAATCAAACAAAGCAAAATCTTCAGGTTCCAAAACCCAAACCACAACAGCCGTTAAGACTTGTAGAAAAACTCACCGCATGCACCGCTTAGCTCGTGCACTCCCTGTTCTCAGCTCCGCCGAGTCAAAGATCCTACTCCCTTCATCACCCGCCACCGCAACCGCAACCGCAACCGCAACCGCCACCGCCACCATACCCTTTCGTGGCCTCAATCCACAGCTAAGATCTCTAGCCACCAAAAGTCGCAACAAACCCACAGCCATTTCTGCCTTTAGGCGCCGTGCCATGGACGCTCCATCCCCGACAGATACAACTGGCGTCGATGATTTCATTCACGTGGGCGATGAGCCAGATGGAAATTCACACAGTTCTCAAGAGGGCTCTGTCGAAAGCGTGGTCGACGAGTCTCTGCACGAAAAGAGTGCTGGTGACGGAGAAACTGAAGGCAATAGTTACAATTATGAGAGGAAAATTCTTCCAGAGGAGCTTTCAAGGAGTGTGGTGGCACTCAGTTGCGAATCATTTGCCGATGGGGGCGTTTGTGATGTTTATTTGGTTGGCACCGCCCATGTGTCTTCGGTAATTTAATTTTGTTCCCGTTTTTGTTTTAAATCTTTATTGTATTGGGTTTTTGTGTAATTTCTTATGAGAATTGAAGTTTTCAATTTAAGATTCATATAAAATTGGTGATTCTATTTTTTTGTTCTAATATGAGAGGCTCACAATATTTTCATCGTATGCATCAAACCTTGTGCCTTTGATCTCACAATATTTTCATCGTATGCATCAAACCTTTTGCCTTTGATCTGGTATAAGAAATTTAGGATTATTAATGAAGAGATGAAAAGAAGGATATGAAAACCACTGAATTATCCGCACAATGAATGTTAAATCTTGTATGGCCGATATATGGAAATTTAATCGGATATTTTAGGAGCAATAGGACCTCGTCTCCATGTCATTTGCATTTGTTGAGTTTCTCTGAGATTTACAGATTATACGTTACTTAATTTTTCCTGCATTTGTAGGAGTCCTGCCAAGAAGTTCAAGCTGTGATCAATTTCTTGAAACCGCAGGTGAAGCTCTTTCAATACGTTGATTAATGAAAGGACTTATTAGCTCGTTAATGTGATTTTTTCCTGTTATGATTTCTTATCTTTCCTTTAGTATTTAAATGTTAAGACTTTCAGATGGATTTACTAATTGCAGGTTGTCTTTTTGGAGTTATGCTCAAGTCGAGTTGCAGTTCTTACGCCTCAGAATTTGAAGGTTTTTTTTTTTTATCTGACTCATGTACTCTTTGTACAGTAAAATCTTTTCCTATTGCTTTTGTATCAAGTAATGGTCAACATTAATTACTACCAACTCTGCCTTGTAAAATTGGCAGGCATGAATGATCTAACTACCTTTTCCTTGGTCCTTTTTGGGCATGCTTTTATGTTGGCGGTGGAGACAAGCTGCACCTAAGTTCACTGAACTTTTTGCATGACTCTTATGTTTCTTGTCGCAGTTTTAGGAAGTAGACAAGCTGCAGTTTGAACTGATTATAGTTTTTCAATAATTCCTTGCTGTGACCTTTTAGCAACTGAGACATAGCTACTGGCTGTATAAAGGCACCAGAATGTCTTGATTAGTATTGGTGATTTATTTAATCTGGATGTGAAAAATAAATATAACCAGAATGTCTTGATTAGTATTGGTTATTTATTTAATCTGGATGTGAAAAATAAATACAAGACTTGAGCACAACGAGAAATAATTTTTGAAGCCACCGAAAGATCATCATTTATGTATTAATGATAACGAACTTGAAACACGGGGACCAAGCGGCTTGCAAGCGAGTGTTTAGTGGTCTTTACTAAGTATTGAATCATACTTGGGACAACTGCCTTAGTTCAAGGCCACCTAGAAGTTATTTAGTATTAGAAGATTTCGTGTGCTCTTTATACGAGTAGTTACCATATATAATTTGCTTAGAATTAGGGATTGTACAGAAATTACTTTCCTTGTATATTCCTTGTATTTTCTATAAATTGAATAGAATGCGTACCGAAGGTCATTAAGCAAAATCGGTTTTGGCATGGTATCAGAGCCCTAATATTTCTCGTGCGTGTGGCTACAGTTTCCTCTTAGTTTTGGGCAGCAATCAGTTCTTGGTTCATCATAGTAGCATCACGGCCATTGTCTCTTGCATCTCAGTCAGCTGTCCACATCATCGGGTTTCTTCGTAGCCTGTGTTGTCGAAATCAATTGGTTTCTTCGTAGTCGGAATCTTCACGTTTCGTCTTCTTTCTGCGATTTAGTGGTCGTGATTTAGTGGGTTCTTGGCATTAGTGTGTACTTCGATTTTTCAGGAAGTCGAACTGTGGAATCTGTATTTGGAGAGAATCGTCGTCTTCATCATCCATTAGCGTAACCTCCGTGAGTGTTTGTTTTTTGTGTGTTGGGCTTTTGTAAAATTATTGTTCTTATTCAACACTTGTGGGTTTGGACTAGTATTGTGTTTAATTGGATATTGGTGGATTTGGGCTTGAGATTGGACCTCCAATTTAAGTGGATATTTAATTGGGCAGAAGTAAATTTGATTGGGTTGTGATAAATTTATTTGCTACGGGATCATCATGTCATATGAAAAGATTAACTCCGTTTGCATTCACTTTACTGGGAAGAACTGCTCGTCATGGGCATTTCATTTTCAGTTATTGATTGAAGGGAAAGGTGATTTATAGGGACATATTGATGGAAGTATTCCACTTGCTGATCAGGAGAAGGATAAAGTGAAGTATCTTACTTGGAAAATCAAGGATTCCCGACTTATGACCTGGATCATTGGGTTGTTCTTAATCTCAGGCCTTACAAGTCGGCATGTTCTATGTGGGAGTACCTAAAGAAAATTTATTGTCAAAGCAACAATGCTCGAAGGTTTCAACTGGAGTTTGAATTGGCGAACTTCTCTCAGGACTCTCGATCAATTGAAGAATATTATTCTGGGTTTTCTAACTTTTGGGCTGAATATACAGATATTATATATACTTTTGGGCTGAATATACAGATATTATATATACTTCGGTATCACCAGACAATTTGGAGGCCGTTCAGGTTGTGCATGAAATTACCAAAAGAGATCAATTTCTTATGAAATTGCGAATTGAATTTGAACCCATCCGGTCCAATCTGATGAATCATGAATCCATTCCATCGTTGGATGGCTGTTTAGGTGAGTTGCTGAGGGACGAGCAACAACTTATCACCTATATCTCCTTGGAGCAACAGAATCAAGTAGCACCAGTTTCTATTGTATACACAGCTCAAGGGAAATTCAAACCTCGAGATATGTCAGGTGTTCAATGATACAGCTGTAAGGGATTTGGTCACATGGCTCTTTAATGTCCTAGAAAAGTTTGCAATTATTGTAAGAAGCATGATCATGTTATCAAGGAGTGTCCTACTCGTCCTCCACGTAAGATTGGAGCGGGTTATGCTGCTACTGCTACTCTGGCCTCCAGTTCTACTTCATCACCTGCTTCTGCTTAAGTTCCAGCTTTCACCAGTTCATCTTATAACTCCATCACTCCTGAGATGATCCAACAGATGGTTATCTCTGCTTTATCTACCCTAGACATCTCAAGTAAACCGTCTGCTGTTGCTTCTTTTTAGTTAATAGATTCAAGTGCTTCTAATCATATGACTCATGATCCACAATTGCTTAGTAACCTCTTACCATATTCTGGATCTCTCCATATACATACTGCCGATGGTAACACACTACCTATTTCAGCCGTAGGTTATCACCCGATTTGTCTAATGTTCTAGTTTCCCCTAGTTTATCAACTAATCTTATAGCTGTCGATCAACTGGTTGATAACAATTGTACTGTGTCTTTAGAGGACGATCGTGAGGGGGCCTAAGGAGGGATGTCTCTTTCCTATCTCACCGAAGTCTGTTTTACATTTTCCTATTGTTTGTCATTCTGCTACTTTTGATGTTTTCGATTGGCATAAAAAATTGGGACATCCCAATTCCAGTGTATTAAAACACTTGTTAAACTCTAGTTTGCTGGGTAATAAGAATTCTACTTCGATTCCGCCTATGTCTATTGATCGTGCTTCATGTAAACTTGCTAAAAGTAAGGTTTTGCCGTTCCCGTCTCTTGGTTCTCATGCTTTGCATAGTTTTGATATTATTCATAGTGATGTATGGGGTCTTGCACATGTACTATCTCATGCTCGCTATAAATATTTTGTTACTTTTATCGATGATTATAGTCGCTTCACATGGGTTTACTTTCTCCGTGCCAAGAGTGACGTTTTCTCTGCCTTTCAGGCTTTCTTGGCCCTCATTAACAACCAATTATCTTCCTCCATCAAAATTTTAAGGTCTGATTCCGATGGTAAATATATGTCTAAAGCATTTCAAGCTTTCTTACAAACTAAATGCATTATTTCTTAGCGATCTTGTCCCTCTACTCCTCAACAAAATGGGGTGGCAGAACGCAAGAATCGTCATCTGCTTGATATGGTTCGAGCACTTTTGATTAAGTCTTCTGTACCCTCTCGTTTTTGGTGTGAAGCCTTGTCTACCGTTGTGCATCTCGTAAATCGATTACCTTCTCCAACTCTTAATCATGTTTATCCGTTTTATAAGCTCTTTGGTCATCATCCCTCTTATTCTCATCTGCGTCCTTTTGGCTGTGTGTTTCGTTCATTTACAATCACATGAAAGGACAAACTCACTCCTTAATCAGTTAAGTGTGCCTTTCTGGGATATGGTGGGACTCAAAAAGGATATGTTTGTTATGATCCTAAGACACAGCGAACTCACTCCTTAATCAGTCAATTGTGCCTTTCTGGGATATGGTGGGACTTAAAAAGGGTATGTTTGTTATGATCCTAAGACACAGCAAATTAGGATTTCTCGCAATGTTGTTTTCTTTGAAAAACAATCTTTCTTCACTTCAGAAACTATGACTTCTCCGCTTGGGTTCTCTGTCTTGCATAATTTTCCTATAGAATTCTTTCAATATAAGCCCGGTCTTGTTTTCACTCGCAGGCATGCTGCACAGTCTACTAATTCCACGCCTCTTTCTGAGACACCTGTTCTCCTCGGGCTCTCTGATCCTCCTCCCACGACATCAGATCCTTCACCAAATGATTCTCCACCTACGACATCAATCCCTTTATCGGATGATCTTCCACCTCCTGTCACTCTTCGTCGCACCTCTCGTGTCCCTTGACCACCGGATAGGTATGGCTTTTCCTCCCATAGTTCTATGTTTGCTACTCTTAACTCGATTTCCAATCCTTTCTCCTATAGACAAGCTATGAAACAAGGGTGTTGGAAATAGGTCATGAATGTAGAACTTGATGCTCTTGAGTCCAACCAAACATGGGATGTTGTACCATGTTCGCAGAATAGAAAGCCTATTGGGAGTAAATGAGTATACTCTATCAAAGTTCGTTCTGATGGTTCTCTTGAGCGATGCAAGGCTCGATTGGTTGCATTGGGTAACCGTCAGGAGTATGGAATCGACTATGATGAAACTTTCGCTCCAGTTGCTAAAATGACCACTGTTCGCCTTTTGTTATCGCTTGCAGCTTCTCAATCTTGGTCTTTACATCAAATGGATTTAAAGAATGCGTTCTTACATGAAGACCTTAAGGAAGACATTTATATGAAACTTCCATCTGGTATGTCTCTTCCCACAGCTGGTTCAGTATGTAAGTTAAAGCGATCTTTGTATGGTCTTAAGTAGGCTCCTCGAGAATGGTTTGACAAGTTTCGTCGCACTCTTTTGGATTTTTCATTTACTCAAAGTCAGTATGATGCATCTTTGTTCCTTTACAAGAGTACAGCTAGCATTGTTTTTCTATTGGTATATGTGGATGATATTATTATCTTTGGATCTGATCACATCCTTATTCAGAAATTTCAGCAACATCTTTACTCAATTTTTCATATGAAGGATCTTGGTCAGCTCACATACTTTCTTGGTTTAGAGGTTCATACAACACCTAATGGTATATTCTTAAATCAACATAAGTACACTCAAGATTTAATTCGGCTGGCTGATTTATTTGAAGCCTCCTCTGTTGATACTTTGCTGGAACTTAATGTTAAATATCGAAAAGGCAAAGGTGATATCCTTACAGGTCCTACTCTCTATCGGCAATTAGAAGGTAGTCTCATCTATCTCATTATAACTCGTCCAGATATTTCATTCGCAGTTCATACTGTCAGCAAATTCATGGGTACCCCTTGTCATTTTCATTTGGTAGCTGTCCGCCGTATTATCCGATACCTTATTGGGACTCCTCATTGTGGTCTATTCTTTCCTAAGGAAATGTCTCTTGAACTCACAGCTTATTATGATGCTGATTGGGCAGGTTGCCCTGATTCTCGTCAATCGACTACTGGGTGGTGTATCTTTCGAGGTAATGGTCTCATTTCTTAGAAATGTAAGAAAGAGGATTGTGTTTCTATGTCCTCCACTGAGGCTGAATATCGTGCTATGTCAGCTGTGCGTTTTGAAATTGTGTGGTTATGTGTCTTCTAGCAGAGCTTGGTATTTCACAAACAAAGCCTACACCACTTCATGGTGCCAACACTAGTGCCATTGAGATTGCTGCCAATCCTGTCTACCATGAACGCACCAAACATATTGAGGTGGACTGTCATTATATTCGGGATTCCTATGATTCTAAGGTCATCGCTCTTCCTCATGTCTCCACTACCCAACAGGTTGCAAATATCTTCACCAAATCCTTAACTCGTCTTCATCATGATTTTCTCATTCGCAAATTGAACCTTGTAGATTTCCCAGCATCAATTTGAGGGGGGGGGGGGATTAGAAGATTTTGTGTGCTTTATATACGAGTAGTTACCATATATAATTTGCTTAGAATTAGGGATTGTACAGAAATTACTTTCCTTGTATATTCCTTGTATTTTCTCTAAATTGAACGAAATACATACCAAAAGTCATTCGGCAAAATCGGTTTTGGCATATAGAAGTAGGTCATGCGCACGTGTTGTTCATACTTAAAATTTGTGTCAGACATTCTTCAAGCCTCATCTCCACTACATTTCTCCTAAATCAAAGCATTCATGGAGTTTCGAAAAAGACAAAAGGATTAAGAAAGTGTTATTGACGAGGTTGGCAAAATTGTACCAGTGCTTGGGTTTGAGTATCAATTGAAATGTTGTGCGTTCCTTGTACAATACTTGTCTCTCATAATGAGTAAAGAATAGGTTCTCTTTGCAGGATTTTGGCTGAGCATGTTAAATGCGTGTGTCAATTTTCATTTCGTTCCAATCATATCTTTCCTGTAATTTGTTGATTGGTCTATTGCTAGACAAGCCTCTACATTAGATGGTTCTAGCCAGCAATTAAGCACCTGTTTGGTTTATAAGTTTATAAAAACATAAATTTAAGTTAACAATTTATTTTAACCAAACATTTAATGGGACCCACAACTTTTATCAAATTTTCAACTGCACATTTCAATCAACTTTTAGCAAAATCTACTAAAAATCTATTTTTTTAGGAAAACCAAACTTGGGCTAAGATTTAGTCATATAACGACGACGACGACGACAACACCACCACCACTAGGAGAAGAACTTCGAAAAATTTATACTCTTGGTCCTGCATCACTAGGGGGATGAACCTGGAATAGCCAAATGTCATTGTTCCCCTTGACTATGCAAAGTACTTTGTCTCTCTCACTTTTATGGTAATTTTAAGTAATGACAAGCTTCTGTCTCCCCAAAAATCTTGAATATTTATTGTTACCCTATCTAACTATGCGTTACAAATTTGGAGAACCCTTTAGCTGCCTTCACCTCTGACACAAATCACTCTAGTAGATCCAAAATGTGATGTGCGTCGATGATAGATACTGGCTAGATGTCAAATCTATCACCAAGTCTGACTATAAGTTATTTCAAAATATGCAACAAAATCAAATACTTATGTAAAATATAATGCGATGGGCTCAAATTATTTACTTTGTGCTTCATCAAAATGAGCTATAACACTCAACATGTCGTGTGGCTCTCATTCCGAAATCGTTAGGCTCTTCCAGCTAAAAGTAATCAATTGCTACCTGTAGGAAAATTCGTGGAAAAATATATGAGTTGATAGCTCAGTAAGTGAAGAAGTTCGAAAGTAATTATATTTTTTCAATATTACATTTTTATCAAAAATCGAGTTCATGTCATTTAATAATTCACAAGATAACATCATGTAATTATAACAAAAAGTGAAATATTCACATAAGGTCGTGAAATGTCATCTTAAAATCATGATATGAACATCAGCTGATAATCATGTTATAATCTCATCACATCAAACGTACTGAAAAATTCACAAAAAATGCACCTTCTAAATGACATATGTAATCCGTCCCTCGGGTTAAGAACTTTCGCCATGGGCCTTTGGCCCCCTCTGTGAATGAAAGTCGGTCTCAAGACCTTTGGTAATCAATTTTAAAGCACGACCAAGGTCCCTTTGTGAACAATATGTACACGATTAAGACCAATGTCAAGTCAAGACCCCTCCGCGTAGGATAGAACACAGTCAAGACCCCTCTGTGAACTAGAAGAACTATATAATCATGAGTACGTTTCTCGCCAATATCAAAATCACATGTCTCACATACCAAACAAATCTCAAAATCACATGTTTTACATACTAAGTCACAAATGTGCCATAAATAATTTCTGTGATTTAACATTTATCATAATAAAAGATTTCTGTAATAATCATAAAATCGAACACATAATTGCACATACTTTACTAATGTACTTAATTTATAAATACTTTAAAAATATTTATATTTTTTCACTCACAGATTTATGGATAGAAATCTAGCTAAATTGACGTGTCTTTCCAAGTTTTCACGTCACTACCTAAAATAACCGTATAATTACTCAAATTAAAACTTCACAGTTAAATTAATACAATTCCGCCACTTAACTCCTCAACTTCTATATTTACTCTTACATCTCCAATTCCCCAACTTTTATTCTCTTTATTGATTCATCAACTAAACACCATGCATTATCAAATCCATTAAATTACTCACACTTCCTTAAAATCAATAACTTGTACATATACGAGCCCTATACATAATTTATTCCAATACATGAACCTCAATACTTGTCATATAACTTCATTCAAGCCTTTAAAAATCTGAAAATAAGAGTTTTGACAAAAACGGCACTAAAATCCCATAATATTGAAATCTGGCAGCAAAACCTTCGACAGAATTAGCACTATTCTGCGCAGATTTTCAGAAAGAACACCTATGTGGGATTTTGTCCAAAAATTGCTTATAATAATTACTTAAAATGGAGAAATCAATCTCAATGCCTTAATTTAAATGCTTAACATCATATAATCCCACGAAAATCAATGAATAAATATCCATTTCATAAACCCTAAAGATTTCATTAAAATATTTTCACTCACCTATTGAATACAAAGAGGAATTGAGAATACAAACTTGAAAAATGGGCGGCTACCTCTTCTTTCTTTCACTTTTTTTTCTTCCTTTTTCTTTCCCTTTCTCCGTCTCCAGTCATTCTCCCCTGTTCTCTGCGTATTTTGGCCCAAGAATGAGAAAATTTGGTCTGTCTCTTAATTTAATGGATATCCATGGAATAATTGCAAGCCAAGTTCCTCAATCTTCATTCAATATTACATTTAGTTCTTACATCCTCAGAAATAGAAACTAGATCCCTAGACTTCTTTTATGACACATTTCTAACCCTTAAATACTTATAATTACAATTTATGTCCCATAAAAATTATTTGTTCAACTTAAGTCCTTATTGACTTTGACCAATTACTTTGTTTGACTTTGACTAAAAATGGGTGGGGTGTAACAACCTCTGCCTCCACCAGCATTTGATAGAGCACCTTGTTTTTATTACTAGAATGGGAATGTACTCGTTGGCTCCAAATATTCCCATTGTAGCTGCTCGGTTGAATTAAAGCTTTTATTTGTCAGCTTTGGTTTCCTATTATAGTTCTTTTTATTAGATTCTAGCCTTTATATAGATCCTTGAGAATGTGATTCTGGATTTCCTTGAGAATGTGATTCTGTATTTCTCTTTTGGTAACTCTTGTTTTAAAACCTTGAAATTGAATTGACCTACTGTTAAATGGTTCACCAGATACCAACGATGGCTGAAATGCTGGAGATGTGGAAGAAAAATCATAATCTTTTTGGGATACTTTACAGCTGGTTTCTTGCTAAGGCATGGATACAATCTTCACTTCATTAATTGTATTGCAAGTGTAGCATTTTGTCGTCTTATGGAATTAATTTTGGAGCACAGTTATCTCATTTTTTGCTCTGCATACAATTAGGTTGCTAGTCAGCTCGAGGTTTTGCCTGGGGCAGAGTTTCGTGTGGCATATGAAGAAGCGTTGAAGTATGATGGCAAGGTGATACTTGGTGACCGTCCTGTCCAAGTAAGCTAATTCTTTTACAGTTTGTTCAACTGGAAAACTGGAATGCATGTTTCTTGTGATGATTTTTGGAAGAAATTTTCGTTTGTTGCTAGGGTGTGCTCTCCTTTCTTTGAAAAAGATTATGTCCAGGTCTTTTATTCCTGTCATTTAGCTATGCATAGCCACATTAAACTCTTACTGTTTTTTTATTGTTCTATCCGAAATTAGTTTTTCCTTGATTTCTTTCCGGTATATCAAGTATTTATTTATTTTATAAAACTTACTAGTGTTTTAACTTTTCCCATCTATAAAGAGCTAAAAGTGGTTGAATACACTTCTTTTACTTGTTAATTGGTAGAGAATTTTTCCAACAAACTTTAACACTGAACATAATTTTCTCGAACTGTAACTTCTTGAAAATTTAAGATGTATATCTCTCCCTGGTGCTAAATAAAGCATTTGTGTCCCTCTTGATCTATCAGATTTTCAGTGTTATCATGCCCTCACTCATCTCGATCTATCAAATTATAGTTCAGCTTTAGTTGTATGCAATCAAATTGTTGCATGTGTCTTTTGACGGTGATGTGCCTTTACATGTTATATTCCTGTTTTCTCAATTGACAGATAACATTACAGAGAACGTGGGCAAAAATGTCTCTTTGGCACAAGACAAAATTACTTTACTCCATCTTGTTTCAAGCATTTTTCTTGCCAAGTCCTGCAGATCTCAATAGAATGGTAGGCTTCCTTTCATCCTGTAGCACATGCACATTATATTTGCATTGTATTTTTGAGATATGGGTTTGTACAAGGTTCCAGATTTTAACTTTCTGGGTTTATGCGCAGCTGAAAGAAATGGATGATGTTGACATGTTAACTCTTGTAATTCAAGAAATGAGCAAGCAGTTTCCAACTCTTATGGAAACCCTTGTGCATGAGCGCGATCAGTTAGTATCCTTCTGTTTGCTTTCATTTGTCATTTAGCTTCCTATTGCTTAACTGCCACTGACATGGAAATTTTATGTTCTTTCTTGTCACTACTTAAATTGAACTAAATGTAGTTCTGCTAGCACCCCTATCATAGGATCGATTTAAAATTTTCTCTGCTGATTTTTGTTTGCAGGTGCCTCTGAGATATTTTGTGTTTTGTGATCTATTGTCTTGAAAGACCTGCTCAAAAAATAATTTTGTGAAAATTAAAATTCTAAACATCCTAGAACTTTAACTAGTTTATGAAATGAGAAATTGAGCATACAATGATCTGGAAAAAGATGCCGTACATTCTCTTTTGAGAGGTGGAGAACATTGTATGTATGAATATTTGAGTTAACAGTTTGACCTTTGACTCTCAACTTCATTCATGGAGTTGACGTTGGCTAAGTGTGCACAAAGCCTCTCCCATTGTGGAAGCTAAAAAATTTGTAATAGGCAGTTGAAGATCGTGATGAAGTTAAGAGGTTGATTATTGCTTGTTTCACTGTTTAAAGGGTGGGTATTCATGTTTCAATTACCAATGACAAACAAGGGATGGGAATAAACTTTAAATTTAAATTAGGGTTAAAAAAAAAATTTCACTGTCCAGTTAGGGTTGTTACAACAGTGACCATTACAGACAATCAAGCTGTTTTGGGTTGGGGTCCGGGGGGGGG